GTTTTTCCTCTCCTTCTGCCCTAATCACAGGTGTCCTTAGTGTTCCTGATTGGTGGTCATTGGGGTGTCCCACCTGTCCGACATCCGTTTGTCTGCTGATTGCTGAGGTGGACCAATCAGTGGACATTCCTCTGTATTGCACCACCTGTTACTGGTTTTTCACTTACACCTCCCATTGTTTTAAAAGCCAGTTAGTTGTGTTTGTTGGGAGAGACTATTTTCGTATGTGAGTATGGATACTGTGGTGTCCTGTTTTTTGTGTACTCACTCATTTGCCGGTTACTCTGTTTGGTAACTATGTTGTGTGTTTCTGGGAAAAGGGGGATTTAAGCAAGTTGCCCTTGGGCATACATTACCCGTAGGAAGAACATTGTCTAAAAACACTAGTTAGACCTGAGCGGACCACCCACTGTAATTTTTGTATGGTTAGCAGTAGCTTAGCGGTTCTTGAGGCAGGCAAGATCAGTTTAGTTTTTTTTTTACATTATTGTTTCATTCCTTGGGTCCTGCTCAGCCCTTTTTCCCAAACCTTTACAGTGTGTTCAAAATAAACATTTTATGTTTGACGGTAGCTTATGGTTGTCGGTGTATTTTTAGTTCTCACTGTTTCCATGTCACGATTCTAATTTGCATGAATTATGTTACGGGTCTCATTTCCATCCACCCTAGACTTTTAAAGCCATGGGGTTCGTAACAGCGAACCACCGCATTCAACCATGGCAAGGTGACTGGGAATATGGCAGAATACAAACAGTGTAGCTACTCACTCCGCAAGGCAATTAAACTGGCAAAACATCAGTATAGAGACAAAGTGGAGTCGCAATTCAACGGCACAGACACGAGACGTATGTGGCAGGGTCTACAGACAATCACGGACTACAAAAAGAAAACCAGCCACGTCGCCGACACCGACGTCTCGCTTCCAGACAAGCTAAACACCTTCTTTGCCCGCTTTGAGGATAACACAGTGCCACTGACGAGGCCCACTACCAAGGACTGTGGCCTCTCCTTCTCCATGGCCGACGTGATTAAGACATTTAAGCATGTTAACCCCCACAAGGCTGCCGGCACAGAAGGCATCCCTAGCCGCGTCCTCAGAGCATGCGCAGACCAGCTGGCTGGTGTGTTCATAGACATATTCAATCTCTCACTTTCCCAGTCTACTGTTCCCACATGCTTCAAGATGGCCACCATTGTTCCTGAACTAAATGACTATCGCCCTGTAGCACTCACCTCTGTCATCATTAAGTGCTTTGAGAGACTAGTCAAGGATCATATCACTACCTTACCTGTCACCCTAGACCCACTTCAATTTGCTTACCGCCCCAATAGATCCACAGACGATGCAATTGCCATCACACTGCACAGTGCCCTATCCCATCTGGACAAGCGGAATACCTATGTAAGAATGCTGTTCATTGACTATAGCTCAGCATTCAACACCATAGTACCCTCCAAGCTCATCATTAAGCTCGAGGCCCTGGGTCTGAACCCCGCCCTGTGCAACTGGGTCCTGGACTTCCTGATGGGCCGCCCCCAGGTGGTGAAGGTAGGAAACAACATCTCCACTTCGCTGATCCTCAACACTGGGGCCCCACAAGGGTGCGTGCTCAGCCCCCTCCTGTACTCCCTGTTCACCCATGACTGCGTGGCCAAGCACGCCTCCAACTCAATCATCAAGTTTGCAGACGACACAACAGTAGTAGGCTTGATTACCAACAATGACGAGACCGCCTACAGGGAGGAGGTGAGGGCTCTGGGAGTGTGGTGCCAGGAAAATAACCTCTCACTCAACATCAACAAAACAAAGGAGATGATCGTGGACTTCAGGAAACAGCAGAGGGTGCACCCCCCAATACACATCGATGGGACCGCAGTGGAGAAGGTGAGAAGCTTCAAGTTCCTTGGCGTACACATCACCGACAAACAGAAATGGTCCACCCACGCAGACAGTGTGGTGAAGAAGGCGCAACAGAGCCTCTTCAACCTCAGGAGGCTGAAGAAATGTGGCTTATCACCTAAAACCCTCACAAACTTTTACAGATGCACAATTGAGAGCATCCTGTCGGGCTGTATCACCGCCTGGTACAGCAACTGCACCGCTCACAACCGCAGGGCTCTCCAGAGGGTGGTGCGGTCTGTCGAACTCATTACAGGGGGCAAACTACCCGCCCTCCAAGACACATACAGCATCCGATGTCACAGGAAGGCCAAAAACATCATCAAGGACATCAACCACCCGAGCCACTGCCTGTTCACCCCGCTATCATCCAGAAGGCAAGGTCAGTACAGGTGCATCAAAGCTGGGACCGAGAGAATGAAAAACAGCTTCCATCTCAATGCCATCAGACTGTTAAATAGCCAACACTACCACATTAGAGGCTGCTGCTGCCTATTGAAATCACCGGCCACTTTAAGAAATGGAACACTAGTCACTTTAATAATGTTTACATATTTGCACTACTCATCTCATATGTATATACTGCATTCTATTCTATAATATTCTTCTGTATCTTAGTCCATGCCGCTCTGTTATTGCTTGTCCATATATCTATATATTCTTAAATCCCATTCCTTACTAGTTTTGTGTGTATTGGGTATATGTTGTGAAATTGTTAGAAATTACTGCACTGTCGGAGCTAGAAGCACAAGCATTTCGCTACACCTGCTATAACATCCGCTAAACACGTGTATGTGACAAATAAAATGTGATTTGATGTTTTTCATCGGCAGGGACTGGGAAACTGGTCAGAATTGAAGGAATGATGGATGGCACTAAATATAGCGAAATTCTTGAGGGAAACCTATTTTCAGTCTTCCAGAGATTTGAGACTGGGACGGCGGTTCACCTTCCAGCAGGACAATGACCCTAAGCATACTGCTAAAGCAACACTTGAGTGGTTTAAGGGGAAACATTTAAATGTCGTGGAATGGCCTAGTCAAAGCCCAGACCTCAATCCAATTGAGAATCTGTGGTATGGCTTAAAGATTGCTGTACACCAGCGGAACCCATTCAACCTGAAGGAGCTGGAGCAGTTTTGCCTTGAAGAATGGGCAAAAATCCCAGTGGCTAGATGTGCCAAGCGAATTGCAGCTGTAATTGCTACAAAAGGTGTCTCTACAAAGTATTGACTTTGGGGGGAGGGGTGAATATTTATGCATGCTCAAGTTCCGTTTTTTTGTCTTATTTCTTGTTTGTTTCACCCCAAAAAATATTTTGCATCTTCAAAGTGGTAGGCATGTTGTGTAAATCAAATGATACAAAAACCCCAAAAATCCATTTTAATTCCAGGTTGTAAGGCAACAAAATAGGAAAAATGCCAAGGTAGGTGAATACTTTCGCAAGCCACTGTACAGAAGATAGCCCTATTTGGTAAAAGAACAATTCCATATTATGGCAAGAACAGCTCAAATAAGCAAAGAGAAACGACAGTCCATCATTACTTTAAGACAATAAGGAAAAATTCAAGAACTTTGAACGTTTCTTCAAGTGCAGTCGCGAAAAACCATCAAGCGCTATGATGAAACTGGCTCTCATTAGGACCGCCACAGGATTGGAAGACCCAGAGTTACCTCTGCTGCAGAGGATAAGTTCATTAGAGTTACCAGCCTCAGAAATTGCAGCCCAAATAAATGCTTCACAGAGTTCAAGTCACAGACACCTCAACATCAACTGTTCAGAGGGGACTGTGTGAATCAGGCCTTCATGGTCAAATTGTTGCAAAGAAATCAAAAGGACACCAATAAGAAGAAGAGACCTGCTTGGGCCAAGAAACACGAGCAATGGACATTAGACCAGTCCAAATTGTAGATTTTTGGTTCCAACCGCTGTGTCTTTGTGAAATGGCATATTATTTGTGAGACGTGGTGTGGGTGAACGGATGATCTCTGCATGTGTAGTTCCCATCGTAAAGCATGGATGAGGAGGTGTTATGGTGTGGGGGTGCTTTGCTGGTGACACGGTCTGTGGTTTATTTAGAATTCAAGGCACACTTAACCAGCATGGCTACCACAGCATTCTGCAGCTATACGCCATCCCATCTGGTTTGGGCTTAGTGGGACTATCATTTGTTTTTCAACAGGACAATGACCCAACACACCTCCAGGCTGTGTAAGGGCTATTTTACCAAGAAGGAGAGTGATGGAGTGCTGCATCAGATGACCTGGCCTCCACATTCCCCTACCTCAACCCAATTGAGATGGTTTGGGATGAGTTGGACCGCAGAGTGAAGGAAAAGCAGCCAACAAGTGCTCAGCATATGTGGGAACTCCTTCAAGACTGTTGGAAAAGCATTCCAGGTTAAGATGGTTGAGAGAATGCCAAGCGTGTGCAAAGCTGTCATCAAGGCAAAGGGTGGCTATTTGAAGAATCTCAAATATAAAATATATTTTGATTTGTTTAAAACTTTTTCGGTTACTACATGATTCCGTGTGTGTTATTTTATAGTTTTGATGTCTTCACTACTATCCTACAATGTAGAAAATAGTAAAAATAAAGAAAAACCCTTGAATGAGTAGGTGTCCAAACTTTTGACTGGTGCTGTAGATGACACTGATTTCAGCGTTGGTAAATTGGCTTAGTTTCATAATGATTACCCTATAAAAACATAGCTATCTTCATAAACATATTTTGGGGAATTCTGAAATGTATTGGGATAAATGACCAAACTATAAAACTAGCTAGCCAGCTGTAGCTAGCTAGCTACCTGACAGGAGTGCTAGCTAGCTAGCTACGTTAGCTTGCTAGGTACATTAATAGCTTTAGGTTGGTTGTTTTTAAACTCAAGTTCAAGATTTCCATCAAGGACGTTGCCTCTCCGATCATCACTCTCCCTCGCTTGGGCAAGGGACATTTAAGGTACACTCAGATGTGACGATGTAAAATGTCTTTCAAGTGCTGAGGGTTTAGGGCCGAGGGCTGTCTACTTTGGACTGCAGCCTAGTTCAGTGAAAACCTATGTTTTTGCATGGGCCCTTCCACCTACAATCCACACACACCCTGCTCTCAGACACTCACGGATGTGCAGGCTCTTGGTCACATGATCCGAGTCCAGGGCATGATGGAATCCGTAGGCAGATTTGCCAATCAGATCTTCTGGCTCGTATCCCACTAGCTCTGCCACCCTGGCAACACAGTGGAGACAGAAGGAGGGGTCAGGGGTGAGAGGTCAGGGGTGAGAGGTCAGCTTGGAGTCAACAACCAGAGATGATGCAGTATGGTAGTTTTGCAAGAGGGAATGGTATAAAATGGTATCTTAATCTGCTGGGGTAAATTAGTTATGAGTTATTGTAATTCTATGAGCTCTGCTGAGAGTGGACAACAAACAATGGTTATAAACAGTCCCAAGGTATGGGGATGGCCATCTCCAGCTGTCTGTTTGTTTGTTTGTGTGTAGTGGGACATGATTTCATTAATGATTTCCTGTATTTGATTTGTTCATGATATGTTATAAATATTGTTGTATAAGCGGAAAACCGCGGAGGGAGGCATTCCCCTGGGAGGTGAAACTGGAATTAACCATGTATCCCCATGTTAATACCATGTTTGGTTAAGTAGTTTTCTTCTGTTAGTCTATAATTATTTGTTGTAACTGACTACTGATATCCTTTTACTTCTTAAACAGACCTTTGACCTGTTGAAGTGCTGATGGTATACTTTCTTGTAATCTGTGCAGACAGTGGCCTTAGTTGCAGTCTGAGGAGATTCAGTGACCTTGTTGACAGAACATTTATTATTATTATTATTATTTTTAACATGTATCTGCTGATAGGGGATATAAGGGCCTTCTCCGAGGAGGCCAGGCAGACTTTTTCTCTACTGGAGGTTGTCTCCCTGTTGCAACTTGTATTAAACCTAATTTATTTATAATTGACTATATCCGCAACTGCTCTTCTCTTTTATTTCAGGGATTGCAACCAAAATAATTTTCCAATCATTCTGTTCTGAACAGATCTCCTATTTGTTTTACTCCATTCCAGTGTTCTGACCAGTATAATAAAGTTCTGAACCGGGTCAACCCCCACAAAAAAGTAACAGTTTATTTCGTAAGAAATGTAATCGTGAAATCAACATCGTTTTTACATTTATCTCATTAATTTACTCCACCAATTAGCGCGGATAGAGAAGCTTGCTACGGAATGGGTGAGCTAGTTGTTTACATGTTTGATTGGTCATATAAATGCAGGTGCGAGATACGACTGAAATTTCATGAGTGGGGAGTGAGCGAGAAAGGGGTGAACTTGTAGGGGGCTTGAAGTCCTGAACATCATGGCATGACTTGGAATGTGTTTAGGCTATTACTAGCATCAGAACTTCACTGAATTACAGAATTATATACTAGATATTATGCATATTTTTAAAACAAAAAATAACATTAATAGGAGGGCTTCTTAAAGAAAAACTAACAGGTCTGTGAGAGCCGGAATTCTTACTGGTTGGTAGGTGATCAAATACTTATGCCATGCAATAAAATGCAAATTAATTACTTAGAAATCATACAATGTGATTTTCTGGATTTTTGTTTTAGATTCCGTCTCTCACAGTTGAAGTGTACCTATGATAAAAAGTACAGACCTATACATGCTTTGTAAGTAGGAAAACCTGCAAAATCAGCAGTGTATCAAATACTTGTTCTCCCCACTGTATGTATTCACCCCCTTTTCCTATGAAGCCCCTAAATAAGATGGTGGAAGAAGATTGGTGCAACCAATTACCCTTCAGAAGTCACCGAATTAGTTAAATAAAGTCCACCTGTGTGCAATCTAAGTGTCACATGATCTGTCACATGATCTCAGTATATATATATATACACCTGTTTTGAAAGGCCCCAGAGTCAATTCAATTCCACTAAATTATGCAAATTAACCTATAGACCGATAAGCATGACCAGTCAAATGCATTTCCATGGACTGGTATTTCCATCAATTAATAGGCAAAAAAGCATAATTTCGCAATGGGATTATTTCTTCTTCTCCCGAACAATTGGCCGGCGGCAATTTTATTTATCGGCAGGACCGAGTTTGGGAAACCCTGCTTTAGAGCATGGAAGAATTGATCATTTAAAGCCATAACATTTAAATAAACTACAACCTCCGTTTAAGAACCCAACAGCTTTTACATCACGTTGAAGAAACATTTTGCAACAGAACCGGCATAAAATAATACACCCCATGTGTGTGTGTGTGTGCTCAGCCTCACCTGCCCTCGCAGTGTGTGAAGCGCAGGTCCATGCTGTGTCGGGTGAGGAAGGTGCTCCGGTCCAGGGGGAACTCCACACTAGACGGGTGGGGGATGGGCTCACACAGCACAGTCATGAAGCTGCCTGCAGGGGGTGATGAATCCTCATCACTGCAGCACACACGCATCTGGCCTGTACAGTGCAGCACCTGGGGGCCACAGAGTGCAGTAAGATAACAATTGCTATCCATATATACTTACAGGGCACATGCATGGGCAACAGGACCCATGTGAATGTTGTAGAGCAGGGATGGGCAACATTGATGGGGGTGGGGGCCACAGTTGCTCGCTTTATTTTGTGTCGAAATTGAGACAAGGGCCTTTAAAAGGGGGGCCGCAGACTGCCGCCAGTTACCCATCTCTGTTGTAGAGTCAATTCAGGGCAGACGGACCATGTTAAGGAACATTCACAGTGGGACTTGAAGCATGGCGTGTTAGAAGAAAGTGAAAAGGGTTCTTCTATACAAGAGTAAGGCTCCCATCCCAAATGGCACCCTATTCCCTATATAGTGCACTACTTTAGACCAGAGCTCTGGCGCAGACCAAATAACTGTAGAGATGGAGAGGTACTGGAATGGCAGTATACAAATGGGATGTGGCACCCTTGTAACATGGCCAAGAGTGAGAACATAGACTCCCCAATAACACAAATGCTGTTTACACACACCTCTCCTGGAGTCCAGAGCATAACTGGGTCAAGGCTTTCTGACAGTCATGGTCACTGATGGACCCCTGCCATGTGTGTGTGTGCGCGTTTGTGTGTGTACTTATTTTCCTACCTTATCAGGACCCTAATATCCTAACAATTCACCCAAATGTCCTGACAAGGGAGGAAAACAATAACTTTTTAGAAAAGTCAGGACTTTTTTCATGCCCTGAATTTTTAAAATGCTATTTTAAGCTTAAGGGTTAGGTTTAGAGTTTGGGGGTTAAGGTTAGGTTTAGGGGTTAATGTTAGAGTTTAGGAAAAATAGGATTTTTAATGGTAAAAAAATGTTTACTCCCAAAAAAGTCCAGACATTTTACAAAAATAAAGCTGTGTGTGTGTGTATTCCCCTGGATCTACCTCTCGATGCTGTACACTGAGCCAAGCAGAAATGAGCGAAGCGAAATGAAGGAGAGGGGGACACCATCTATGTTACCAATGATTTAGGCAAGCCATAGTCGCACCAATAGGAAATAAAGTAAGGCAGGGTGGCAGGCTGGATTAAGTTGGTAGAGAACCAGACTCATAAACCAGAGAGATATGGTTACTCCCCCAAGTCTCATCATTAGAATGGGGGTTGGATAGGGTACAGACAACCCCCTGATATCTAGGCCAGCCAGCCTGTCCTACCAGAGATACCTAACCTTTCAGCTGGATCAAGTGTCCTGGCCTTCTGAATCCAAACATCTTATTGCTCCGATGTTTGTCTAATGTCCTAGCAACGTCACTGGTAACAGCAACTTGTGCTACATATGAATCTCACTGAATGATGAAAGACGGCCCTAATAGGGTTGGGCAGTATCCATACAGGGGTATACATTATTACCGTTAGCGCATACAATGGGGCGCTATTTCTCGCCATAGCGGACACAAGCTAAATGCTAACAAGAGCAAACGGACATAAACTAATCACAAGAACAGACAACCCAGCTCATAAAGTTAAGGCTACTCACAGTTTTCTGCATACACAAAACAAATATTAGACAGCAGGGATCTTGATCAAGGAGGGGATTGGTTGTCTGTGCTGTAAATCTTGCAAGCGGTTTCAACTCATTTGCTATGGCCTCGCGCTAGTGTTCCAGCTCAACCAACGTTCTTTGGCCGTTTTTCAGCCTTGGGTGAATTTTGACCCGTTCCATTGTCCAGCCTAACAGCAGGGATCTTGATCAAGGAGGAGATTGATTGTCTCTGCTGTAAATCTTGCAAGCTAGCAACTTAGCTAGTGAGCAAGTTAGCTAACCAAATGCATAGCTGGCGCCCTGAGCTGGAGAGAATTTATTTGGCACATCCTAGATAGTAAAATGTATAGTTATAAGATATATAGCTAGCAAACAGTTGTGAATTTCAAGTATAACTTGATCACCTCTCTGTGGATCGATTGGCACGTCACGAAGCTTCCATTTGCTCTGTGTGCTCTTTGTAAACCAACATACCATGTGACTGGCTCAATCAGCTGTTTTGGGGAACGACTTCATAATGAAACACGCGAAATGAAGAATGCGATCAGATTATCTATTAACCTAGTGCACAAGTTGACTGCAGGTACAGTGCATTCGGAAAGTATTTAGACCCCTTTACTTTTTTCACAGCCTTATTCTAAAATTGATTACATTAATTTTTTCCTCATCAATCTACACACAATAATATAACATTTTGCACATTTATTAAAAACAAATACCTTATTTATATAAATATTCAGACCCTTCGCTATGAGACTCGGAATTGAGCTCAGGTGCATCCTGTTTCCATTGATCATCCTTGAGATGTTTCTACTACTTGATTGGAGTCCACTGGTGGTAAATTCAATTGATTGGACATGATTTGGAAAGGCACACACCTGTCTATATAAGGTCCCACAGTTGACAGTGCATGTCAGAGCAAAACCCAAGCCATGAGGTTGAAGGAATTGTCCGTAGATCTCCGAGACAGGATTGTGTCGAGGCACAGATCTGAGGAAGGGTACCAAAAATGTTTTGCAGCATTGAAGGTCCCCAAGAACACAGTGACCTCCATCATTCTTAAATGGAAGAAGTTTGGACCCACCAAGACGCTGCCTAGAGCTGGCCGCCCGACCAAACTGAGCAATCGGGGGAGAAGGGCCTTGGTCAGGGAGGTGACTAAGAACCTGATGGTCACTCTGACAGAGCTCCAGAGTTCCTCTGTGGAGATGGGAGAACCTTGCAGAAGGACAACCATCTCTGCAGCACTCCACCAATCAGGCCTTCATGGTAGAGTGGCCAGACGGAAGCCACTCTTCAGTAAAAGGCACATGACAGCCCGCTTGGAGTTTGCCAAAAGGCACCTAAAGGACTCTCAGACCATGAGAAACAAGATTCTCTGGTCTGATGAAACCAAGATTGAACTCTTTGGCCTGAATTTCAAGCGTCACGTCTGGAGGAAACCTGGCACCATCCCTACGGTGAAGCATTGTGGTGGCAGCATCATGCTGTGGGGATGTTTTTCAGTGGCAGGGATTGGGAGACTCAAGGGATGTAGCTCAGTTGGTAGAGCATGGCGTTTGCAACGCCAGGGTTGTGGGTTTGATTCCCACGGGGGGCCAGTATGAAAAATACAAAAAATAATGTATGCACTCATTAACTGTAAGTCGCTCTGGATAAGAGCGTCTGCTAAATGACTAAAATGTAAATGTAAATGTAGTCAGGATCAAGGGAATGCTGAACGGAGCAAAGTACAGAAAGATCTTTAATGAAAACCTGCTCAGGACCTCAGACTGGGGCGAAGGTTCATCTTCCAACAGGACAACGACCCTAAGCACACAGCTAAGACAACGCAGGAGTGGCTTCGGGACAAGTCTCTGAATGTCCTTGAGCCCAGACTTGAACCCAATCGAACATCTCTGAAAAGACCTGATAATAGCTGTGCAGCGACGCTCCCTATCCAACCTGACAGAGCTTGAGAGGATCTGCAGAGAAGAATGGGAGAAACTCCCCAAATACAGGTGTTCCAAGCTTGTAGCGTCATACCCAAGAAGACTTCAGGCGGTACTCGCTGCCAAAGGTGCTTCAACAAGGTACTGAGTAAAAGGTCTGAATACTTACTTACGTAAATGTGATATTTCCATTTTTTATTATTAAAAAATTTGCAAAAATGTATACACCAGTTTTTGCTTTGTCATTATGGGGTATTGTGTGTAGATTGATGAGGGTAAAAAAAAACAATTTAATCAATTTTAGAATAAGGCTGTAATGTAACAAAATGTGTAAATAAATCAAGGGGTCTGAATACATTCTGAATGCATTGTATTTATTTAAAAATAAATATTCACACTTATGAAAAAACAAGCTACAAATAGTTTCAACGGTATTGATAGTATTGAATATTTCAAAATACCCCCTGTATACGGTATACAGCCCAAGCCTAACGCCCTATGCAGGTGTGGCATTCGCAGGTGTATGGGGCTTGGGGTGTTGGTAGCTCATTAGTGCTGTGTGGGGGGACAAACGTACCTTCCAGGTGGCAGACTTTATGTTGACAGTGCGCCCTCTACTAGTCAGAGTGGTCTTCATCCTAAGGAAGATGTTAATCTCTGTGTGTTGCTGCGCTGGTTTCTTCTTGGACACACCTGGGTTGGAGAGAAGATAGAGCTGTAGGCCTAAAGCCTGGAACCTGTGTGAGCATGCATGATGAACACAGACACGCGCATCGACACACACACACACACGCGCACACACACACACACACACACACACACACGCATGCACGCATGCAGTTGCTCACACACGTACGTATGCACAAACACACACACAAACATACAACAGGGTGGTTTGTCTCACCTGGCCTAGGCGCCAGGAGATCCCGTAGCTCCTCTTGGTCACATGGGTGGACAAAGTCATACACACTCTGGCCCAGCAACTCCAGCTAGACAACACAACAATAATAAAACCATGTCAACACAATGCCACACAGGCCCCTTTCCCATGAATTGCAGATTAAGAAAAACTGCACTGCAGGTTCTCTCAAAATACTAAGTCCGAGAATATCACACCAGGTGCCTTGTAGCTTGTATTTGCTAACTTCTACAAACATGATGATGTCTGCATTTTCTTGGTAATCCAACCAGACTGTTACATTTGTTCTGCAGGGTCATCTATGGGACCATTAACTTTTAGCTCCCACTTCACTATTGTGGGATGATTATTTGTAACGGCTGTTGATTGTATTACATGCCTACGTGGAAACGTCTAGGAGCAACAACGGCTCAGCCGCGAAGTGGTAGGCCACACAAGCTCACAGAACGGGACCACCGAGTGCTGAAGGTCGTAAAGTGTGAAAATCGTCTGTCCTTGGTTGCAACACTCACTACCGAGTTCCAAACTGCTTCTGGAAGCAACGTCAGCACAAGAACTGTTTGTCGGGAGATTAATGAAATGGGTGTCCATGGCCAAGCAGCCGCACACAAGCCTAAGATCACCATGCGCAATGCCAAGCGTCGCCTGGAGTGGTTTAAAGCTCGCCGCCATTGGACTCTCGAGCAGTGAAAACGCGTTCCCTGGAGTGATAAATCACGCTTCACCATCTGGCAGTCCAAAGGACGAATCTGGATTTGGCGGATGCCTGGAGAACGCTACCTGCCCGAATGCATAGTGCCAACAGTAAAGTTTGGTGGAGGAGAATTAATGATCTGGGGCTGTTTTTCATGGTTCGAGCTAGGCCCCTTAGTCCGAGTGAAAGGAAATCTTATTGCTACAGCATAGAAATGGCATTCTAGAAGATCCTGTACTTCCAATTTTGTGGCAACAGTTTGGAGAAGGCCCTTTCCTGTTTCAGCATGACAATGCCCCCCGTGCACAAAGCGAGGACCATACAGAAATGGTTTGTTGAGATCGGTGTAAATATCCAAAAAGCCTCATGATTTCAAAATGTTAAATCCATAATGAAACATAGAACTACGCAATTGGACAACCAAACTGTTCATCAAAGGCCATGAATAAAAACTTTGTAAAACATGCAGTAAAAACTGAATTTTGTTAACATTACTCTTTGCCATTCGTTAAGTGGGAGTATCCACTAGTCTGCAGTTGACATTCTAGTAAGTCTATAACGGATTCATTCTACCTGACTATACTCAATAGTGCAATAGAGCTTTGTGGACACAGACTGACTGTAAACAAATGGCAGTGGAATTGTATACTACTATAGTACTACTATATGCCATTAAGCAGATGCTTTTTATCCAAAGAGACAACAGTGAGTGCATACATTTTCATATGGATCGCCCAAGTGGGAATCGAACACATGACCCTGACGTTGCCAGGAACATGTGTGGCTGTACCTGTGGGATGCCCAGGTGTTTGCTGACGCTGTCACCCAGGTAGATCATATCCCCCTCCTCGGTCATCACCATGATGAAGCCTGCCAACGCCTGGGGGTAGAACGCATCCATTGTGTCCTCAGCCCCATCTGTGACCTGCTCCTCACTCGTATCCCCTGCAATGACATAAAACACACGTCATTATAAAACACACATCCAATGTCATATCAGAACCTTTTTGGTCTAGACTAACACCATCTTGGGAGTTGGTTACTACTTGGAAAGTAATAAAGAAAGTAGGCCTGGCTCTCTCAACCATTCACAGTACAGGACATGGACATATCTGGCCAATGGGAGCCCACCTGAGCGGAGGTGGTGCATGCGAAGGAAGCTGAGCGTCACCCTCATGATGGCGGCCTTGTCCAGGTCGGCGGAGACTCTGCGGGGGAGGGGCAGGGTGTGGGCCAGCTCGTAGAACAGCTCAGTCTCCTGACTCCGCCTGCAGCGCGCCGCATCCCGGGAACGCACCTTCCGTTGATCCGTACTCGACCTGGACAGAGGGAAGAGGGAGAGAAAAAAAAGAGTGGTGAGGAAGAAGGTAGGAAGAGGAAGAAGAACAGACCAAGGCAGTGGAGGAGAAAGGCTGAGGAGGTGTTTATTCAGGAAGATCAATCCTTTGAGATTTCTTGACATCCCTGCGTTCACAAATGTAATCTAATTTTCCGATGTGTGAAATTCTAACCAATCACAAACGCCTAAAACCCTTTCAACACACATTTCAATATATTTTTTCTGTGAAGTCAGTCATTGGGTACACAAAGCCAACCAGATATTTAACATCCACTTGCTATCTACAGTGTAATATCCACTTCCTTCTCAGACAAACAAAATTATTATTTAAAACATTTCACTTCATTATCAAACTTCTCTGACCCTCTTTTTACTCTATCACACCTCCATAACCAAACAAGCAAATATCTAAATATTCAAACTCACACATACAAACAGGGAACAACATGTATTTCCTAAATTGTTTTCTCTTTGATTCAGCATGTAGGAGCCGCAGCGTGTAGTTTAAGTGCTCACTGAGTCACACTCTGTGTCTGGGAGGGAGAAGGGAAACAATCCTACCTGAACCACAGCCCTTAATCTCCTCTTACCTCCCTTCCCTCATCTTCCTCCCTCGCCCCACGGGGACAAAGGCAGTCTCTGTTAACCTGTTTATGGCATCTGACCGCAATCAACAGTCGGGCCCCCACTTCCGCTTCGCCCTCCATTGTCCCCCTGTCCTCTATAGCCTGAGAGAGCTTCTGAGATTGTGCCCGCACTTCTTTCCCCCGGGCTTTTCACAGGAAGTTTAAACAGATGTGTATCTCCATGTATGACTCCAGGCTGGGTGAAATGGTTCAGAAGTTCTCCCCGTCCCTTAGCATCTCACAATCTGTGTTTATCAAAATAAAATGTAATTGATTATTTAATAACTGTAACTGATCCTTACCAGCTGAGGTAATATGAAGTGAGAGTAATGAGTTTCGTCATTGGCCAGGGTGTGACAGAATGTGCTCGGTTTGATTTTAATATGGTCAGATTGGCTAATTCTTTGAGAACACTTACAGTGGGGAGAACAAGTATTTGATACACTGCCGATTTTGCAGGTTTTCCTACTTACAAAGCATGTAGAGGTCTGTAATTTTTATCATAGGTGCACTTCAACTGTGAGAGACGGAATCTAAAACAAAAATCCAGAAAATCACATTGTATGATTTTTAAGTAATTAATTTGCATTTTATTGCATGACTTAAGTATTTGATACATCAGAAACCTTTGTTTGCAATTACAGAGATCATACGTTTCCTGTAGGTCTTGACCAGGTTTGCACACACTGCAGCAGGGATTTTGGCCCACTCCTCCATACAGACCTTCTCCAGATCCTGCAGGTTTCGGGGCTGTCGCTGGGCAATACGGACTTTCAGCTCCCTCCAAAGATTTTCTATTGGGTTCAGGTCTGGAGACTGGCTAGGCCACTCCAGGACCTTGAGATGCTTCTTACGGAGCCACTCCTTAGTTGCCCTGGCTGTGTGTTTTGGGTCGTTGTCATGCTGGAAGACCCAGCCACGACCCATCTTCAATGCTCTTACTGAGGGAAGGAGGTTGTTGGCCAAGATCTCGCGATACATGGCCCCAACCATCCTCCCCTCAATACGGTGCAGTCGTCCTGTCCCCTTTGCAGAAAAGCATCCCCAAAGAATGATGTTTCCACCTCCATGCTTCACGGTTGGGATGGTGTTCTTGGGGTTGTACTCATCCTTCTTCTTCCTCCAAACACGGCGAGTGGAGTTTAGACCAAAAAGCTCTATTTTTGTCTCATCAGACCACATGACCTTCTCCCATTCCTCCTCTGGCGGGCCTGGACATGCGCTGGCTTGAGCAGGGGGACCTTGCGTGCACTGCAGGATTTTAATCCATGACGGCGTAGTGTGTTACTAATGGTTTTCTTTGAAGACTGTGGTCCCAGCTCTCTTCAGGTCATTGACCAGGTCCTGCTGTGTAGTTCTGGGCTGATCCCTCACCTTCCTTATGATCATTGATGCCCCACGAGGTGAGATCTTGCATGGAGCCCCAGACCGAGGGTGATTGACCGTCATCTTGAACTTCTTCCATTTTCTAGTAATTGCGCCAACAGTTGTTGCCTTCTCACCAAGCTGCTTGCCTATTGTCCTGTAGCCCATCCCAGCCTTGTGCAGGTCTACAATTTATCCCTGATGTCCTTACACAGCTCTCTGGTCTTGGCCATTGTGGAGAGGTTGGAGTCTGTTTGATTGAGTGTGTGGACAGGTGTCTTTTATACAGGTAATGAGTTCAAACAGGTGCAGTTAATACAGGTAATGAGTGGAGAACAGGAGGGCTTCTTAAAGAAAAACGAACAGGTCTGTGAGAGCCGGAATTCTTACTGGTTGGTAGGTGATCAAATACTTATGTCATGCAATAAAATGCAAATTAATTACTTAAAAATCATACAATGTGATTTTCTGGATTGTTGTTTTAGATTCCGTCTCTCACAGTTGAAGTGTACCTATGATAAAAATTACAGACCTCTACATGCTTTGTAAGTAGGAAAACCTGCAAAATCGGCAGTGTATCAAATACTTGTTCTCCCCACTGTATATAAGTAACAGGCAACATAATGGCACTTCCACGGTAACGGAATTGCACTGAGATTCAGATTTTTCACTTAAAAATGAATGCCAAACAAAAACCCTTGATTTCAAAGTTTAACAAACCATACAACTCTGTCCACAAGGACTACTTTTAACAATTTACAATTTACATTTTACCAAAAAAATAAACATTACTGGAAGAACTGTGCAGATGCAAAGTTTGGTAACAGAATTTCAGTAAAATCTCCCTCAGTTTTTTATGTGACCACGTTTTTCAAAATTCTGCTCCGAATTAAGATTCAAAAGGTGCAGAACTACAGTAAGTAAAGTGGATTTACACCTGGTAACAGAAATACATATTTATAGATATGCCATTCTCTTCATGTTGATGCATCCTAAATATGTACATAAAAAGGTAGAAATATGTAATATCCTCCTTTGCATAGTTGGGTATTATTCTACACACTGGCTATTATTTTAATGCGCTCCACTACCAAACAAGACCACATTTGGTTGGTCCAGACGGACAAAGTCTGAACCATCATAGAAGTCTATGTTTCACAAGTTTGGACATCAAAGTACAGCACAGTACAGTAGAGTACAGTACAGTAGAATACAGTACAGTAGAATACAGTAGAATATAGTACAGTGAGGGACTGATTTCTTCATCCCGCTCCCGCTGCTTTTCATACTGCGCCCGCCCGCTCCCGCTGATGTCTTGTCCGACTCCCACCTGCTCCCGCAAGAACTGGTCCTGAATCCGACCACAGTCCCACAAAGTTATTTTATGTGTATGTAAAGCAGCTTGATTTGTAGCCCTGGTCTTCAGTTTTGAACGGTTTGGGCTACAGATGAGCGGTTTTCTGCATTGTTAAAGTGCAACCAGGGACACAAAGCCATGCTCTGTTTGTTTCTATGGCAGAGGTATAGCTACATACATAAAGAAATTACTTTGGCTAAACCTAATCAGACTTGCCTGTGCTAATGGTTTTCAAAAGACAATGCCCCTCAAATGATACAAATGTAACAACTGCCTGAGCGCACTGGACATGAAACAAGGATACAGATGTAACCATGTGACATTTAATGTATTATCTGACCGACAAGTTCCAAGTCCCAAGGCAAAATTCTATGTGCATTCCACAGGTCACGTTTATAAATGAGTTTTAAAAAAAAAGTAAACTATCCAGATTAGGAAAGGTTTCATGGCACACCTAAGAGTTCCTCAAGGCACGCCAGTGTGCCGCGGACAACCGGTTGGGAACCACCGGCCCATCATATTTAGGAAGTTAATTTCCATGGAAAGACAACTGCATGTGATTCTCCGCCCATGCATATAGCCCACAGCAAGGCTTTCCAACCCTGTTCCTGGAGACCTACCGTCCTGTAGGTTTTAGCTCCAACCTAATCTAGCGCATCTGATTCTAATAATTAGCTGGTTGATCAACTGAATCAGGTTAGTTACAACTGGGGTTGGATTGAGGAGGGTAGCTCTCCAGGAACAGGGTTGGAGAGCCCTGGCCTACAGTTATTTAATTGAGACCACGCATAGGCACATTTGATCTTGCACGCCCAACACAAAAGAGGTGGGGTAGGCTACTGAACTTGAAGAATAATTATCCTATGAGAGTTTGTGAATAGTGCGACAGAGGTGCTTTAATACAATAGATAACACATTTTAAAAAACGGAAAGACAACCGTTCAAAAGAATCTGCAGGACAAAAAAATATTTTCTTCCTGAGGTTGTCCGTCTGACCGCCCGCTCCCAGCATGAAAAAATGATATCCGCATCGCAATGCTCTCTGTAGTGACCCACAGGTCCAGAGGAATGCAATGCAAGAATGCTGCTCTCTACAGTACAGTAGAGCACAGAACAGTAGAGTACAGTACAGTCAAGTAGAGTATAGTTCAGTAAAGTACATCAAATGACATTCTTTAGTTTTAAGAAAAATAATTAAAGAGCAGCAGTAAAATAACATTAGCGAGGCTATATACGGGGGGTTTCTAGGATTTCTGGGATAATACTCCTCAATGCCATCGGAAGAATCCCGGAACATATTCCAGTCTGTGCTAGCAAAACAGTCCTGTAGCTTAGCATCTGTGTCATCTGACCACTTTTTTATTAACCGAGTCACTGGTGCTTCCTGCTTTAGTTTTTGCTTATAAGCAGGAATCAGGAGGATAGAGTTATGGTCAGATTTGCCAAATGGAGGGCGAGGGAGAGCTTTGTATGCGTCTCTGTGTGTGGAGTAAAGGTGGTCTAGAGTTTTTTTTCCCCTCTGGTTGCACATTTAATTAAGTAAAACAGATTTAAGTTTCCCTGCATTAAAGTCCCCGGCCACTAGGAGCGCCACCTCTGGATGAGCGTTTTCCTGTTTGCTTATGGCCTTATAGAGCTCATTGAGTTTGGTCTTAGTGCCAGCATCGGTTTGTGGTGGTAAATAGACAGCTACGAAAAAATACAGATGAAAACTATCTTGATAAATAGTGTGGTCTACAGCTTATCATAAGATACTCTACCTCAGGCAAGCAAAACCTTGAGACTTCCTTAATAATTGATTTTGTGCACCAGCTGTTGTTTACAAATATACACAGACCGCCACCCCCGTCTTACCGGAGGCAGCTGTTCTATCTTGCCGATCCAGCGTATATCCCACCAGCTGTATGAAACATAAGATACTACAGTATTTAATGTCACGTTGGTAGGATATCCGTGATCTTAGTTAGTCTATTTTGTTATCCAATGATTGTATGTTGGCTAATAGGACTGATGGTAGAGGCAGATTACGCACTTGCCGTCGGATCCTTACAAGGCACCCGACCTACGTCCCCGATATCTCTGTCTCTTTCTCATGCGAATGACAGGGATTTGGGCGTTGTCCGGTATCTGAAGAAATTCCTTCGCGTCCGACTCGTTAAAGTTCAGTACAGTACATTATAGTGTACTCAACTCTAGTGTACTCTCCTGTGTACTGTACTGAATTCTACTCCACCATTCTACTTTACAGTACAGGACTAAACTATACTCTACTTTTCTTTAATGTACCGTACTATACTGTGCTGTCCAAACATATACATCTATGATTGGTTCAGATTTGGTCCGGTCCAAATTAAAGCCG